CAGTATGTTTGGCACTATATGTATCTTATTATGCGTGGGGTACGGTGTGTGTGTCACAGTATGTTTGGCACTATATGTATCCTATTATGCGTGGGGTACGGTGTGTGTGTCACAGTATGTTTGGCACTATATGTATCCTATTATGTGTGGGGTATGGGGTGTGTATAACAGTATGTTTGGCACTATATGTATCCTATTATGTGTGGGGTACGGTGTGTGTGTGACAGTATGTTTGGCACTATATGTATCCTATTATGTGTGGGGTACGGTGTGTGACAGTATGTTTGGCACTATATGCATCTTATTATGTGTGGGGTACGGGGTGTGTATGGCAGTATGTTTGGCACTATATGTATCTTATTATGCGTGGGGTACGGTGTGTGTGTCACAGTATGTTTGGCACTATATGTATCCTATTATGCGTGGGGTACGGTGTGTGTGTCACAGTATGTTTGGCACTATATGTATCCTATTATGTGTGGGGTATGGGGTGTGTATGGCAGTATGTTTGGCACTATATGTATCTTATTATGCGTGGGGTACGGTGTGTGTGTCACAGTATGTTTGGCACTATATGTATCCTATTATGCGTGGGGTACGGTGTGTGTGTCACAGTATGTTTGGCACTATATGTATCCTATTATGTGTGGGGTATGGGGTGTGTATAACAGTATGTTTGGCACTATATGTATCCTATTATGTGTGGGGTACGGTGTGTGTGTGACAGTATGTTTGGCACTATATGTATCCTATTATGTGTGGGGTACGGTGTGTGACAGTATGTTTGGCACTATATGCATCTTATTATGTGTGGGGTACGGGGTGTGTATGGCAGTATGTTTGGCACTATATGTATCTTATTATGCGTGGGGTACGGTGTGTGTGTCACAGTATGTTTGGCACTATATGTATCTTATTATGCGTGGGGTACGGTGTGTGTGTGACAGTATGTTTGGCACTATATGTATCCTATTATGTGTGGGGTACGGGGTGTGTATGGCAGTATGTTTGGCACTATATGTATCCTATTATGTGTGGGGTACGGTGTGTGTGTCACAGTATGTTTGGCACTATATGTATCCTATTATGTGTGGGGTACGGTGTGTGTGTCACAGTATGTTTGGCACTATATGTATCTTATTATGTGTGGGGTACGGTGTGTGTGTGACAGTATGTTTGGCACTATATGTATCCTATTATGTGTGGGGTACGGTGTGTGACAGTATGTTTGGCACTATATGTATCCTATTATGTGTGGGGTACTGGGAGTGTGGCACTGCGTATGTGGGCAGTGAGTTTAGCAGTGTGTGGCACTGTATATATGACAGTGTGAGTGATGAGATTTGTAGTCCTGAGTGACAGTCTGTAGGTGGAGGTTGAGGCCCTTTAAAAATAATTTTATCACAGGATAATTGGAAATGTCGGTGGTCAGTTGATATAAGTTACAGAGCTCAGCAATCTGTTGTAAGGAGTAGCTCCGTGGTATTTGGTTAAGCCTTTTCCCATTCTCACGGCACTAAAAGAGTTAACTAATTTATATACTGTCCACAACCCAACCCTAGCCAGCAACGTAAGTGAGCAAATATATATCATAAAACCAATGGCTAATTATTAGTTATTTATCGATTTGGTTTTATTTAAGAAACAAACCTGGATTCCTAATACTACAGTGTTCTCCTCTGCTTTTCGTTTAAGTCCCCCCCTCAATCTGAATAAAAATTAGAAAAGATTTTACTCGATTCACCTCCCACATCAGGTGGACTCGTCCCATCCAATGCTCCCTCATAAAAGACGAGTGGAGACATAAGGCGCATGCGCGGCCTGGACTGCGCTCCTCCAAACAAATGGAGGTTAGCCATGAGAAGCGAGTGTTAATGAGTGCACTTGCACTCAGCTCTTTTTAAGATCCCTGCTTGTTTTCCCTTACGGCTATATTTTTAGTGAATTGAGGTTTCTGGGGACTGTAGCTCCCTAAATGGAGACCAGCATTGACCACGTAGCTGTAGGTGATCAAACATAGGCTGCCATTTTGTACCTGCAGCAGCTTTGAATCTTTGTGCTGGCAACTCTGATAAACCAGTAGAATCGACCAATCATAAAAAAAATCCTTGGAAGGGCATTTCATTTCTAGAGCTACTAACAGAGTCAATGGGTTTATAAGAGGATGATTATCCCACATACCCAGAAACCGCAGGCGACAGGAATTAATTCCCAAAGCTTCTAAGGCGTGAACGACCCTGAAAATACGTTTGGCAAGTCTACGTACCCTGCTGAGTTTAAATTTATCTCCGTACTTTATGCACGGTATACTAATCTCGCCATAGTCAGCGGCCACTTGCAAGCCCTCGCTGCCTGCCTCAGCTGGGAGGGAAGGGGTTAAACCACCGGCACCGCTTTTCCCAACTGGCATTGTAGTAAGTGCAAGTACAAACATGTTTCTTTTTGCGGAGTTGATCATCCTGTGTTAGTGCAATGAGACTGGCGTGTATACCAAGGCTGGAGAGCCACTCCCGGAGGGGGCGCACGGGGACATCTGGCATCCAAAAGACTTGCTAGCGAGGCAGCCCCATTATCCAGAGACAAAGGAGACACCAGGATAGTTGTGCTGAATCATCAGGCGGTGCTGTCAGACAACAAAGGCAACGAGTGGGCTATTAACACTGCGTTTGCGGTGTGTTCGAGTAGACATTTAAAGGACTTGTTTCCAAAATTAGACATTCTCCGTTTAATGTAAGCCTTAATTCATCTACACGTCCGCTGCTAACCCGCCTCTTAAAAACTCTCTCAAAACTAATATCATAATCTGTTCATCGGGTTTTGAAAAGAAATACTTTTGTTTTAAATGGAAATAGATGTTAAAATATATATCTATCTTTAGTATATGACCGCCTCTACCTTGTATCAGACAGGGTCTAAAACCAGATAGTTCACTCCCAGCACAGACACCATAGAGATTGTTCTCAAACACTGTCTGACCCAAGGTAGGGTGAGTTTATTTTATTTTTTCATTTTTACTTAAACTGAATAAAAAATATATATATATTCTGTTTCCTTTAAAAACCTCAATGAAAGGATTTTAATATTAAAAAAAAAGTTTTCAGTTGACAGTTGTCCTTTAAGCTAGGTAGATCAGGTTTTGATATCCTTACTCTTATAGCAGTAGGTTTCCTTGCTAAACCCCTGTATCAGTCCCATGTCACGCTGTCCCCAGGCAGGTATTAGCACGTCCACTGCAGAGACCATTATTGGAGAAGTGAACAGCTGTTGGTTAGTTTGCCAAGCTCGAAGGGACAGACCACTGCATTTACCATTTTTAAAGCGTTTAAAAGGGACACCTAGGAACCATAACCACTACATCCTATTGTGTTTTGACCTGTTGTAGGGATTAAATTGCAAAGAAGTTTTAGGAGCTGGCTCCTTACATAGAATTCTAATAGTCAAAAATTGGGGCTCTTTCTGAACAAAAGGTCTGTCCCCCCTGTTAACATGTATGTAGCACAAACATGCTGTGCTTTATAATTAAAGCACAACTGTCACTGTCTGACATTGCCACTGGGGGGGGCAGCCAGAGGAGTTTAACTTAACCTGCCCCTTTTGGGGCTGCCATCCTCTTCTACGTCAAAGCCAAGATTTAAAGTCTCTGCTGTACCCTCCCATTGGTGATGGCTGGGAGATTGACATAGGGAGTCCCTACTTTGTATCTATTGACTGGGCTGTAATCTCAGTGAAATTCTAACAGTACAGTATAAGTTTTTCATAAAGATTTAATTATGAAATGCTCATTTTTGCAGTGGGTGGGAAGGAGACCGTGCTGCTTTTTAGAATGAATATTGACAAATGTGAAGACCATGCTCAAATCACTGAATACACAGAATGCTAAAGTTTCATTCTTCACAGTATCTGCCAGATGTTGGACAGCCATTGCAGGCTGCGATTTCTGGGGTAGCTTAGCCTATTATTGGCCAAGGTTAGACAGAAAAAGTCCACACAAGCCTCCATGCAATATGTGCCAGGAGAACCAGTTTTAACAACCCCCCTCAATGGTGATGGCCTTCAACTCCCAGAATCCTTTGAACGCAATAGTTGGCCAGAGCATCAGGGAGATGTAGTTCAGCATCAGGTGGACATAGTTTGAGAGGGTGAAAGGCTCTTGATTAGTGTACACATTGGAATCTTTATATTAAGTCTTCACACTCCAATTTTCTCTTCCTGTTTAGAGACAATCTATTCTAGAGCAGTTAATGTTTTCAGTGGATGATTTGCAAGTGCTTGTTATGGCCAGAAGGGGGCAATCTTGTGTAGCAATATTGGCCCATGATGTAATAAGTCTCTTGTTATATCACTGGTTGTGTGGATCATGAAAGGACATGCAACTCAGACATTGAAAATTGATTCAAGAGCTTTAACAGTAAGTAGAGTAGGAGTACAACAAAATGGGATTTTAAACTGTAAAATAGAGCATTGTCGGGTATCACAGTATGCAACCACATGCTCTATGCAGGCAGCCAGCGTGTAAACATGTGCTATAGAAAGTACCACATCATTCTGCATGGCGTCTAGGCTGCTGACTACACTGCAAGTCACTTTCATAGTTAGGGACTACTGCAACTACTCAAAATGCACCTGGCAGTTGACAGCTACCTGTCATTTGACCTGAACACAAGGGTCTAATGCAGATCCCAAAAGCAGGCCAAAAACCCCGTCCCTACTACTAGCAAAAAATAAAAAAAAAAAAAAAAAAAAAGTGTTCCTTAGTCTGCATTATGTACAAGGAGTTTTAATGCATATACTGAGGGCCCAATGCCAAGTGCACCAGTCACAAAATACACCTTTGTGGACTGGCAGCTAATTACCTGGAAGATTGTGACCTGCATCAGGCCCAATACATTCTCTAAGGAGAGAGCCTGGAAAGGAAGTCTAAATGAGTAGGTGGCATTTACTCAGGGTTAGTGCATAGTATTCACTGGAGTTTTAGTTCAAGGTAACCTTGATCCGAATTTTCCAGCTGGCAGAGAATTGCATTAAAATTTCAGTTTACTATGTGCCAGGAGGGCACAGCACAAAATCCAGCTGTTACTGTTGTGAATGAGTAACAGTGGAGGGAGTTCACTGGCCAGCAACAGGTTTCAAGACACTTACTCTGACGGTAGCAATAAGGCAGCTCAGTTTTATCCCCAATACCACCCCATGTACAGAAACCCCAAGAAAACAAGTTATTTACTGCAGCGCTTTTTATTTAACACAATGTTCTTTCTGGGAGTTACAATTTGTCAGGATGACTTACAAATTTTGGTTTTCTACTGTCAAGTGAGAACATTAAGGCAACATACAAAATAGTACATAAATTAAACTTGGATGTATAAATTTACAGGTGTAACTGCAATAAAGGTTTGTAGCTTCAGACCCCATGTGTTGGGCGAGACAAACTGGGAAAACAAAAAACCTGGTTTCTAAGGCCTGGATGCCGTGTGTTCCAACTTTACTAAAAAAAGCTGGAAGAAGTGACAACTCCTTCATGAACTCTTACCAGCCTCGAAGATGAAATTCTGGAATATTAATTGCCAATTTACCCTCAGATACCCTGTACACATCTCCAACTTCAACTACTCCCAGGACTTGTAACGTAAAGGGAGGAGTGTCATTTACAATACTGTTGCAGATCGGCAGCCTTTCACAGAAATGCTTCTTTCTACGCAAAGAAAAGACTAAGGGATACCCAGACGGTTTGCCAACCAGGGTTTGTCTCAGAGGTGTGTACAGGGTACAGGTCCAAGTCTTGCATTAGAGGAGAACAGTGTGACTTAGAGTTTGATTCCCAGGGCAAGTTCGTTTGGAAGTTGGCTCTATTCCAGTTTCACGAGGCTAGCATGAGGCGTACACATTTGCCAAGGCAAATTAATACTTTCAAGATCTCACGCAGCAAATGCAATGCATCTATCAGTCCGTTTAGAAGCATTTGCGGTGAACAATGGAAGGACCAGATTCATCGTATTCCTGCTTGCTGATCCACATCTGTTGGAAGGTGGAGAGGGAAGCCAGGATGGAGCCACCAATCCATACGGAGTATTTGCGTTCAGGTGGTGCAATAATCTGCAAGAGATATGGGAATGTTAGTACACTGAATGGAATCAAGTTCCTAGAATTGATGCATTGAGCAAAGCTTTAAGACCACAACTCACCTTGATTTTCATTGTGCTGGGAGCAAGGGCAGTGATTTCCTTCTGCATTCTGTCAGCAATGCCAGGATACATTGTGGTACCTCCAGACAGGACAGTGTTGGCATACAGATCCTTACGGATGTCAACATCACATTTCATGATTGAGTTGAAGGTAGTTTCATGGATGCCACAAGACTCCATACCTATAGAGGGTAGATTGTGATTAGTTAAGGTAAGAAAAAAAAAATCCCACGATCATATGGAAGATACTAGCAAGACATAGTCAACAGTCCAGTTTAATATCGGGAGCTACACACTGGTATTACAGGATTGCCAGTCTAACTTACCAAGGAAAGATGGTTGGAAGAGTGCTTCAGGACATCTGAACCGCTCATTTCCGATTGTGATGACCTGACCGTCAGGCAGCTCATAGCTCTTCTCCAAGGATGAGGATGAAGCAGCAGTAGCCATCTCCTGCTCAAAGTCTAGAGCTACATAGCAGAGCTTTTCCTTAATGTCTCGCACAATTTCCCTCTCAGCTGTGGTTGTGAAGCTGTAGCCTCTTTCAGTCAAAATCTTCATGAGGTAGTCTGTCAGGTCACGACCAGCCAGATCCAAACGCAATATGGCATGGGGTAGGGCATAACCTTCATAGATGGGCACTGTGTGGGTGACACCATCACCAGAGTCCATCACAATACCAGTGGTACGACCAGAGGCATAGAGAGACAGCACAGCCTGGATGGCAACGTACATGGCTGGGGTGTTGAATGTCTCAAACATGATCTGTTGAAAGAAAGAAAAGTTACAAGCAGTCCCATACTGTGGTCACCCCAAGCCATGCAGGTGCATGCAAAAAAAAAAATAAAAAACAACAAACAAACAAAAATGGTTTAGAATGAACAGAACAAGCAGAATAAAATAAAACCACAAGTGAAAACAGAAACCTGAGGCTTCAGGAGGGAAAATGCCAGGATAGAACAGAGCCCTGAAAATATTGAGAGAAAGTTTTGAGTCCAAGAAATAAATGATGATGTACATGAAGAGCTACCCCCACCCGATGTAAGAGGGCCAGGAACAAACCTGAGTCATCTTCTCTCTGTTTGCTTTAGGGTTCAGGGGAGCTTCTGTGAGCAGAACAGGGTGTTCCTCTGGGGCTACACGCAGCTCATTGTAGAAGGTGTGGTGCCAGATTTTCTCCATATCGTCCCAGTTTGTGACAATTCCGTGTTCAATGGGGTACTTCAGGGTCAGGATACCTCTTTTGCTCTGGGCCTCATCACCTACATAGCTGTCTTTCTGACCCATTCCAACCATGACACCCTAAACAGAGAGGGATAGTTGGACTTTTTCTGCCACAATTCAGCAACATAAAGAGCAGTGATATTCATATAATAAGTTTACAAACTTGATGTCTTGGGCGTCCAACGATTGAGGGGAATACAGCACGGGGAGCATCGTCTCCAGCAAAGCCGGCTTTGCACATACCGGAACCATTGTCAATGACGAGCGCTGCAATCTCTTCATCTGCCATTTTTACTATTGGGAAAAAGATTAGATTTAGATTCCAGCAATTGCATCCAGTATCACGTTAAAGATGTTAATGCCCAGCAGATGTAGAGCTTTCTAGGTGGTAGGTTATCACAGGATGGTTGGTGGCAGTAGCCATGCAGTGACAATGAATGGGGAATATTCTCATCACTGCGCAGCCAGCCCCCCTTGCCCAGACTGGCCACACAGCCAGCCCCCCCTTGCCCAGACTGGCCACACGGCCAGCCCCCCCTTGCCCAGACTGGTCACACGGCCAGCCCCCCCTTGCCCAGACTGGTCACACGGCCAGGCGGCCAACCCGCCCAGCCCCCAGGGGCCGTACATACAGCAGAGGTTCTATCCCTGCAGTAACCTTGGAATGCAAGAACAGACTCCTCCCAGATAGGAAGCAGCCTCAACCACAGCCCCGCCCAAGTGAAGCACCAACAGCCAGCCAATCAGACATGCTATGACCTTATATGGAAGGCAGACAGCTCCCAACCACGCCCACACAAGCCAAAACCAAGTTTGTTTCAAATGAAGGGTGTAACCGCCACCAACAGACCAAACCATACAATGGGAGGGGGGAGGCCAACAGACCGGACCATACAATGGGAGGGGGGCCAGACTGATGCAAGTTCATACAAATCCAGCCGCCCAAACCATCCCCACCCAGGACCCACCCTGCAGCACCAGCCACCTGCCCAGCCACCTTACTGCTCCCACATCCAGATACCAGCCCTCATTAACCCATTACTACTCTTATTAACCCTCATTCATTAACCCCCACAGTACCAGCCCTTATTAACCCATTAATACCATTAACCCCACAGTACCAGCCTTATCAACCCCCACAGTACCAGCCCTTATCAACCCCACAGTACCAGCCCTTATTAACCCCACAGTACCAGCCCTTATTAACCCCCTACAGTACCAGCCCCATTAACCCCCACAGTACCAGCCCTTATTAACCTATTGTGTACCAGCCCTTATTAACCCATTAATACCATTAACCCCACAGTACCAGCCCTCCAACCCCCCACAGTACCAGCCCTTATTAACCCCACAGTACCAGCCCTTATTAACCCATTAACCCCCACAGTACCAGCCCTTATTAACCCATTAATACCATTAACCCTCACAGTACCAGCCCTTATTAACCCATTAATACCATTAACCCTCACAGTATGACATCCAGCTGCCAGCCCTTATTAACCCTCACAGTACCAGCCCTTATTAATGCATTAATACCATTAACCCTCACAGTACCAGCCCTTATTAACCCATTAATACCATTAACCCCCACAGTACCAGCCCTTATTAACCCATTAATACCATTAACCCTCACAGTACCAGCCCTTATTAACCCATTAATACCATTAACCCTCACAGTACCAGCCCTTATTAACCCAATACAATTAACCCTCACAGTACCAGCCCTTATTAACCCATTAATACCATTAACCCTCACAGTATGACATCCAGCTACCAGCCCTTATTAACCCTCACAGTACCAGCCCTTATTAAGGCATTAATACCATTAACCCTCACAGTACCAGCCCTTAACCCATTACTACCCTTAACCCTCACAGTACCAGCCCTTATTAACCCATTAATACCATTAACCCCCACAGTACCAGCCCTTATTAACCCATTAATACCATTAACCCCCACAGTACCAGCCCTTATTAACCCATTAATACCATTAACCCTCACAGTACAAGCCCTTATTAACCCATTAATACAATTAACCCTCACAGTATGACATCCAGCTACCAGCCCTTATTAACCCTCACAGTACCAGCCCTTATTAACCCATTACTACCCTTATTAACCCTCACAGTACCAGCCTTTATTAACCCATTACTACCCTTATTAACCCTCACAGTACCAGCCCTTAACCCATTGATACCCTTATTAACGCATTATTAACCCTCTCAGTGCCGTGTTTACCTTAGGGGTGTGTTTGTGAGGAGAGTCCCGGGTGGAGATAGACCGATCGCTGACTGTTACTCTTAGATCCGCTGCCGCCGGCTGAATGAGGACTCTCTGGCGGCCGTTATCCTATTTAACGTCAGCAGCCGGGAGACACGCCCCTCCGCGCGCGGACCGAACATCGCCAAATATGGGCATCTTTCAGAAAGGAGCCTCTCCATTGGCCGGCCGGGGAGAGGAGGGGTTGGACCGGCAGCCCTGGGCCACGCCCACACTGCCCCTGAAACTGCATGAGGCCGAGAGCGAGGAAGGTGTGTTAGGGACGTGATGACGTCACATCAGCTGCAGGGAGCTGCCTTGAATTAACATATTATTACATTATCATTATTACACTATCACTATTACAGTATTAATATTATATTATCACTATTACAGTATCAATATTACATTATCATTATTACACTATCACTATTACAGTATCAATATTATATTATCACTATTACAGTATTAATATTATATTATCATTATTATATTATCCCTATTACAGTATCAATATTACATTATCAATATTACATTATCATTATTACATTATCATTATTACAGTAATAATATTATATTATCATTATTATATTATCCCTATTACAGTATTAATATTATATTATCAATATTATAGTATTAATTAATATTGTATTATCACTATTACATTAGCAATATTACAGTATTAATATTACATTATCAATATTACAGTAATAATATTATATTATCATTAGTACATTATAAATATAGTAATAATATTATATTATCACTATTATAGTATCAATATTACATTATCACTATTACAGTATTAATTAATACTGTATTATCACTATTACATTATCAATATTATAGTATTAATATTATATTATTACATTATCACTATTATATTATCGTTATTATATTATCACTATTATAGTATTATTATTATATTATCATACAGCAGCCTTGAATTAACATATTATTACATTATCATTATTACATTATCACTATAACAGTATCAATATTATAGTATTAATATTACATTGTCACTATTATAGTATTAATATTATATTATCACTATTATAGTATTAATTAATATTACATTATCACTATTATAGTATTAATATTATAGTATTAATATTATATTATCATATAGCAGTCTTAAATTAACATATTATTATTATTATTATACAGCAGCCTGGCATTAGCTTATTAATTATTATTATATTATCACTATTATATTATTAATATCACATTATTATTATTATTATTATTATTATTATTATTACAGCAGCCTGGCATTAGCTTATTAATTATTATTATTTATATATTGCAGCCTAATATCAGCACCTCCTCTTCCATATTATTATTATTATTATTATTATTATTATTATTATATCTGTGGCATCAACCAGCCTACTACCAGCCTCTGCATCACCACCATCATCGATATGAACAATATGAATTATTATTTGCAGCAATCCATGCTCAGTCCTGGGATATAAACACTGGGTGGTATTTTGCATTACACAAGTTGGCGCAGGCTGGCAAAGCATCATGGGAGTTGTACTGGTTTTACACCTGCCCAGCAGAGACACAATTACCACCAGGAATTCAGAGCGAGTTTCAAATTGTAGGCCAAAATAGTCGAACTCAGAACAGAATTTACGCGGAGAATGTTTCTACTTCGGCGGTATTGGCCTACCTTTTGAAACTGCGTTTGAATTCCCAGCAATTCCCACTTTAGCGAATATCCCTGTAAAATTGGAGCTACAAAGTGGTTGCTATGCAACGGGCATGCTGTACATTGCTAGCCACAAATTGAGGATTTCAAAGAAACGATAATAAATAGCGAGGCTGTGTTAGATTGCAAGCTGTTTGACGCTCAATGGGCTTCCACACCCTTTCCCTTCCTCAAAGTAACAATGCATTTAACACAATGTAAACAAAGCTTTTAAAGGGCTTTAACGAGGACGCCATGCGTTGTGCTGTTTTAAGAACTGTCTGCCAATAGTTTTAAAATAACAGTAAGAGGGGTTTTCAAGTTTGGCTACTTTGGTCTGAATGTTGCAAGCCAGCTACACCCCCTCCCAATACATGTATGTGGTTATAGCAGTGAGTACCATGAAGGAGGGAAGTGTCTGTGCCAGAAAGGGAGATGTACTAACGTTCAGGGTGGAGGAAGCCCAGCCTTTTGAAGTTTTGCCAACAAGCTGAGCACATGTGTATGGGAGCAGTTTATTGCAGAGCTTCAATGGAGGGCTGTGCGTTTCATGTGAGGCTGTAAAAGGGTTAACCATTTCCTTGCAGAAATGCACCCAGCTCCCTGTCTGCACTGTGTATTCCCTGCTCTGAAAACTGGCCAAAAATCTAAGCAGGGTCCTCAACACCTTCTGCTGTAAATACTCGCTTGACTACCTTTTGTACAGCTCTGCGGCATATGTCGGTGCCATATAAATAATAATAATAAGGCAGGGATGGCCAAAAAGTTACTACAACTCCTATAACGCTTCACCAGCCTAAACGCATTCTTTGGAATATTTTTTGACGGCTGGCAAAGCATCATAGCAGTTGTAGTACAATAGGTGGGGGAGTAAATTCTGGACACCAGTCGGTAAGGCCATGAAAAGTTAAAATTCAATGCGTCTATTATATGTGGGAATTGATGTAATTGGAGTAGAGGCCTTTAAACACACCACGGTATTGTTGAAGTATTGAGATCATTTGGATAGAATGTAAGGCAGCTTCCTGTGGAATAGGCAAAAGATTAAAAGCTGCAATAATGTGTATGTGTTCACGATTAGATATGATATAAAGGGAAATCCTTGGGATATAATGACGAGGAGCTGAATGGAGTGGAAAATACCCACAGGGCAATGTGTAGCTGTCTGCTATGAGAACTGCGTGTTTACAGAAATGAGCCTGGAAGCGTGGCTGCTCCTTTAAGAGACTACTAATGAAAAATGCATGTTTCAGGGCAGCTCTAATGTGTTTCGTCCGCCAGTCTGCATTCTTTCATTACTGTCTACAAACCTCACCAATTATTAAATGTTAGCACTTGCAAGCAAGGCCTGTGTTTTACTGCTAGCAGGTGCATGAAGCATCAATTTGAATCATTATTATTATTTTATTATTTATTTCATCCAGCTCTGCTAATGTATCAAAACTGAATTATCTTTTAAGTCTTTTGCAAGCAGCAAAGCATCAGGGGAGATGTAGTCCACAGCAGCCGGAGTGCCGTAGGTTGCATAGCTTGATCTAGACCCAGAATGCCAAACTGCAGCCGCAAAGCTACTTTCAGACTACTACTCCCATAGCTCCGGGCCAGCCCTAGTCGTGTGATAGTTGAGGGGAGCCCGGTTTTTAAAGAGACCAGATTCCAAGGTTCGGTTAATGTGAACTGGTCGATAAGTGACACAGAAAGATCTGTGGCCATCCGAGGGTAGAGAACCAATTCTGTACAAGTATCAGTCGACACTATATGGACTGAGGTGACCAATCCGTACAATATGACGAGAAACATCAGACAAAAAGGGTGACTCTGATTCCAAAGAGAAGATTAGAAATGAGCTTTCCAAAATCCTTCTACGTCTATCCCCTGGTGGTCCTGATCAGGCCAAGGGATACGTCAGAGGTATTCCAGGTCTTAGTGTTTTATAGGAAATGCAGTCATTACTTGTTGAATGAAATTGGTATTCCGGATATTTGGATAAAAATGGTTATCGCTAGTACTAGGCTACAGGAAGTTCGAAGAGCACTGGAGAAAGTCGTCAGACTGAATGTAAAGTGGAGAGTGCGCATGTAGCATTGGGGCAAAACAGGCCCTCCCCACCCAACCGTCCGGGTTTGGAGGTCTGGAACGTGGGTGCAGTTATAATCAGAAAAAACAGGGTTATTCTAAATACATTTCTAACTTTAAGCCATAATTGGTGAATTGGAGGTATTCCCCAGGTCACGGATGTTTTTGTTTGCGCTATTTTGGATTTTTTAAATTTTTTTTGGAATTCCTGACAATCCACCCTTTACTGAATACCTGAGTATTGTAGCACACTGCTTTGTTTTCGCGTTCATTTCATTGGTTTACATAGAAACGTAGTCATACATCGCAGGAGGCGGGTCCAGTTAAACCTCTAAGTTTTTAATGATAAACACTGTTTTTGGAGATTTGTAGGAACATTGCAACAGAGCTGCTGTGATAGGAGAGCAGGATCATTACAAAGCCATTCATCATTTTAAATCAAGTCATTAGGGTAAAAGTGTATTTTACCCTAATGACTTGCATGTACGTTTACAGGATTTCTCCACGTAAGTTACTGCGGACTGCAAATCCTATCATCAGAGGCTGCAAATTAAGCGCAGAACAACGTTAACAGAAGCTCCTGACGAAGTCCGAGAGACGAAATGCGTTGAGCCACAGTGGGACCCTCCAGTTTTGGTATTAGCAGTTTCTGCTCTACATATTTGCTGCTTATGTGATTGTTTGTGGACATTATTGGTGTATATCATTCTTAGAGTGATGAGAGTTGTTCTTTCTCACTTTATTGCACAGTCTGCACTTTAGCATTTGCACTTTTTTGTTATTTAGAGCTGCTATACCTATGGGTCCATTTGCCTATTAAGGCTTTTTATATATATCTTGTTCTATCATTTGCACATTGTTGGTGCATTTATTATTTTAGTTCCTTCAATAAACTGCATTATACATATCTTTTTTTTTTTTCCCCCTATTTATTCATCTGGTGATTTTGGCGCCCTGTATTTTCTTAGTTTTATACAACGTTAACATTTGACTGAATTGGAGAAGGTAAAATTAACGAGTATATGGTGAAATCCATTATTCAAAATATGACATTTAGATGAAAACTCTCTTCTTTGTAGTTTGTTTTCGGTAGATGAATCTGTGACATGCTCTCTTTTTATAGAGGACGAGGCGGGAAGTGGCAGCATGTGATATGAATACTGGCAGCTGATCTCTTTATTTGGTTAAATTCATCCGGCCTATATTTGGTTAGGAATTCTTTTTCCGACCCACTTCGAATCCCATAGGTACAGCTAAGTGGACAGTCACCGCTTTCAAACAGATGTGACCAGATCGCACGTTGTCAGCTGTAAAATGCTGGATAAGAATG